GGTGCTTGTCTGTCCCGTGGTGCTGGTGCTTGTCCCAGCTGCGCTGGTGCTCGTGTGGGTTATGGTGCCTGTGCACGTGCAGGCTGCAATGCTGAGCTCTGTCCAGTGCCAAAGCGCTGGGATGCTCCGCGGTGCCCCGTGGTGCCCACGGTTCTCCCCGGTCTCGCACGGGAGGGCACAGAGCAAATGGGGCATCTCGAAGAGCTCTCACCAAAGAAAGCCAGTTATACGGAGCGTTTGCAAAGAGCCCCATGAACAGGTCTGCGTTAAAATAAAGACCTCCCTCAAGACATTTAGCATTTTTATTCATCTTTTCTTTTTCTCCATGATCTTAACAGCAGAATAACACGAGCTCTTCAGATCTTCTAAACGCTTAAAAGGGCGCTAAATCCCGCACACGCTCCACAATTCAAAGCAATCGGGTTGTAATTAGAACAAGCTAGTGCAGCTCGCTGCGTGTTTGCGTGTGCTGCGGACGCGCCGGGAGCAGCTCTTCCCGCCCGGCCTCGCTGCTCCCCGCCGGGCGCTGTGGGCACTGCGGACACTGTGGGCACTACGGGCGCTGCGGGCGCTGCAGCGGGGGCGCAGGACGCGCCGCTGCCCGGCCTCCAGGCGCTCATGCGTTTTTCAGTGATTTTAAGATGCATGGTATTTATGTACGCTGTCCGTAACGTGATATTGCAGAATTCTGTAGGCAAGAGTTTAAGACGGAGGTGAGCTCAAAAATGCCCGCTATTGCAAAGGGACGGGGTGACAAATCTACCAAATCTGCAGTGAGCGGCGGTTGTTGCCGGAGTCGCTGCTGTGGGGGTGAGGGCTGCGTGCCACCGTCCTCCTGCTCTCCTTGTTTTAGCAGACGCGGAATCCCCTGCACGCAGCTCGATCCCAGAGCTCCTGCCCTTATGGCTGGTCTGTGCAGAGCGCTGGGAAATCCGGCTCCCGTGCAGAAGGAGACGGGGACAATGCCAAGAGCCGCATCCCGGGAACGAGGAGGCGCAATGGGGCTTTCGGGGGAGCCTTGCATGTTGTAGTGACTTTTTATCTATTGGATAAAGAGGCCACCTTGTGCCAGGGCTGCGGTTCGTGTTCCCGCAGGTTCATTTCCCAGGGGAGGAAGGGTTTGAAAACAGAACAAGCTGATTGCTGTTTTATAAAACAAAGGAGCAAAATCTTTGCAAAACCAAGATTCAGTAAAAATAGCCAGTGAGCAAAAAAAAACCCAAATCTTGTTCGTTCTACTGCAACATACACAATTGGAAAACAAAACACATCTTGCTTGTCACAACGGGGCCGGCGCTCCGAGCGCAGATCAGATTAGGCGGGGAGATCCGCCTGCCTCCCCAGCCAAGGACGGATTACCTTCTTATTCCTAATTTCCTCCGCTCGCTACCTGCAAATCTCCCACCAGCCAGCTTCCCCTTTTCACACACTCTGTGAGTGTGCTGAGTAAATCAGCTCCAATGCGACCTATTTTCCACAGTGAGTTTTGATGCCGGGTCCTATTCCTGGCGTCCTGCCTGTGTTTACCCGTTCTGAGCGTTTCTGGCAGTGTTGCCAGGCTTGCGGCTGAGCTTTCCCCAATGTGTTGCTGTGTCCTGTGCCCGATATCGCAACTCCCTGTCCGGCCTGCAGCGCTTGGTGGGATGCCGGCCGAGGCAGGGAGACCCTGGCCTGCTTTGGCATGACCTCAGTGGTATAAAGTGACATAAAAGAGGCTGCTGTGCCCGTTGTGTGTGCGCCCACGGGGCTGCAGCGAGCGCGGCGCCGCAGAGGCCCCTCGTGACGCCGCGTCCTGGCCCCTCGCAGGCTCTACGAGGGCAAGGAGACGGCCGAGTTCCAGCAGTTGCTGCAGCGCTTCTTCCTGTGCCTCAACGAGCTGATGCGGTGCCCGCAGGAGGGCCCCACGCTGCTCTCCCAGGTAGGGCGCGCGGCGAGCGCGGGCGACGAGTGGGCTGCAGGCTCTGCCCCGAGCAGCCCGCTGGACGCGAGAGGCCGTGTTCGGAGATTCGCTCCTTCTGCTCCTGCCAGTTTGTTTAGAGTGGAATGCTCTTCCTGCTGGCAAAGGCCAAATTCTGCAGCGAGATCTGAGCCCCCCGTTGGGGTGTTTCCCATAAGAACTGCCTGTTTTGGTTGCTCTTTGGTTGAGAGCAGGAGAGACTTGCACCCTATCGCAAACGCATGTCATTTTCTGCAAGGAAAATGCACCCCTCGAGCGCGGACCAGGGCCACTTGAGGTGCACGTGAAGCTTCAGGGAGCCCTGGGGGCCGTGTTTGTGCGAGTTGCTGTGTGCTGCTCTGCGAGTTACTGCCTTGTACATCCGTGTGAGTTAGCGCCTTGCACGTCCATGTGAGTTACTGCCTTGCACGTCCACGTGAGTTAGCGCCTTGCACATCCACGCGCGTCATTTTGCAGCAGCCGGACACCCTCCTTCCCGAGGCTGTGCCCAGGGCTCTGTGGAGCCGCTCGGTGCGGTGGCAGGCACGTGAGTTAGCGCCTTGCACATCCACGCGCGTCATTTTGCAGCAGCCGGACACCCTCCTTCCCGAGGCTGTGCCCAGGGCTCTGTGGAGCCGCTCGGTGCGGTGGCAGGCACGGAAAGGGCTGCTGGCTGCCCCAGTTGGCGCCACCCAGGCCCGCCCGTCCCCCCC